GATATTAATAGCACTGGCTTGATTAAAAAAAAAGCGGGGGGGTCGGGGATGAAGTGACACCTCCCCTCACCGCCCCCGGCACACGCAATAAACACCAGCCCCTGGTGCCTCTGCTCCCCAGGACCGGGGGTGTCTGACTGCCCTGGACGAGGGGTCTCAGCAGGGAGGGCACCTGGTGAGTGACATCCACATCCACGGGCACTGGTGAGTCCCCAGTGGGCTCCTGGCACTGGCGGGGAGGGGTCTGCAGGGGGGCAGGAGGGGATGGCCCCAGGGCAGGGATGGAGGGGGTACCCAGACAGCACCCCACGTGCAGCTGGTGGAGCAGCTGGGGCTCAGGGCCAGGGGGCTGCTGGCTGTGCCCAGTTTTTTGGGGCAGGACTCATCCCCCTCCCTGAGCTCCCATCGGAGGGGGTCCAGCTGTGAGTTCTCGCCCCCCAAGTCACTCAGCTCCCCAAGAGCTGCCCCTCACTGTCCCCTCAGCCCTGAAGTAAACAAGTGGGTGAAACTCAACACCCCGGAGCTGCTGGCGGCTAAGAATAACGTCCTGCTGGCTGCTGTGCCCGGCCATCCACTCCCTCAGCACCCCCTGCCAGCTGCCCCTTGCCCCCCCCGGGCCGGCTCCTCTCCCAGCGTCAGGCTCACCAGGGAGGGCAGGGAGCCCAGGCATCCTGCGGGAAGCCAGGCAGCCGCTGACAGGCAGGACATGTGCCAAGGGTGGGAGATGTTGGGCACCACGGCAGGGGGATCCCAGCCAGCCCTGGGGTGCAGGGGCTGGGGCAGAGCAGCCCCCACCCCACAGCCCCTGGCTGCTGAGGAAGGAAGAAGGTGGCAGAGGACACCTTGAGGGCAGCCAGGCTCTGCCAGGGACATGGAGCATCCCAGTGATGTTCCATGGTCACCAAGTGAGACTCCAGTCTCCCAAGATGGGAGCTCGGCCTCTAAGCTGAGGGGGTCTGGGGTGGGTGCTCCCTCTTGCTTAGCACCAACATCTGGAGATGGGGCCAGAAGTGGAAGAAGATTCTTTCTCCCTCCTCCATCTTCTGGAGCCACCAGGGCTATTCCAGAGGCAAGGGTCACACACTGCATCCCGGTGTCCTCAGCAAACCCCTCCTGAACAAGGGGGGCATCAGCCCCCTCCTGCTCCTGCTCACCAACAGGACCTGCAGAGGAGATCATCGCCCCAAAAGATGGAGACCTGATGGGAATCAGGGATTAGGGACTGGTCCTGAAGCAGGGGACAGGGACAGGAGGGTTTTGGGGTAACCTGTCCCCAGCATGAGCCGCAGCTGCTGCCCCAACATCAGGGAAGTGAGCAATGATCAAAGGAACTTTTCCACCTCTGATCTCTGCCCGGACTCTCCTCTTGCTGTAAAAGCTCTCTCAGAAGTTTAAAAATAAAATTCTCTTCCGGAGCCACTTCTGTTCCTTCTCATTAAAGAAGCAGAAAAGCAAAGGGATGCGGGACGCGGAGCGAGGAGCCCTCGCCCAGGGATATTGTTCCTTATCGCACACTCCTGCTGCCACTTTTCCTGCCTTTGTTAAAATGTCCGAGTGACAGGAGCAACTCTCCCAGCATCCCACTCAACATCCCTGCCAGATTCCCAGGTGGGACAGGAATCGCCCACGCTGCCTCCAAACCTCAGCAGCGACGGAGCCTTCCTCCTGGCACACCCTCCTCTGCAAACCTCCTCTGCTTCCCAAGTCCCTTCACGGTTGCCGAGCTCTCACACAGGCCAAAAGTCCCTGGTTTTGGCCTTTTTTCCTTCTAGATGATTTTTAAGCACAAATCCCTCCTCTAATTGCAGTCTCCAGGAGCTGGACTTAAAATTGTGAGGAAGAGGAAACCAGATGCAAAGGCCAGGATCCCCTTTCCCTCCCAGTGAGGGGTTTCCCACAGGATTTAAAGATGGAAGCTGGATTGCATGTGGCTTTTCCTGGTTTGGTCGTGCATATTGTCACTGGATAACTCGAAGAGATGTGGACACACCAATCCCAAAACAGAGGGATGCCTGTTCCTGGGAGAGGGTCCTGCTCCCAGATCCCACCCTGCAAGCAGCACCTGCAGGAGCGTGGAGGCCAAACCTGCTTCCTCCATCACTGAGCTGGGCTTTGTTGGGCTGAATCTATGTGCGTCAGCCCTTGGATGGGCCTTGCCTGTCTGGGGAACCATCCCAGGGGATGGAGGAACCCACCCATGTGATGGAGAAACCCACCCAAGGGATGGAGGAACCTATCCAAGGGATGGAATAACAAGTCCAGGGGATGGAGGACCTCAGCTGTGGGATGGAGGAGCCTGCCCAGAGGATGGAGGGACTCACACAAGGGATGGAGGAACCCGATCATGGGATGGAGGAATCTGGCTGCCACCCCACTGCCAGTGGGGATCCAGGGGCACCGAGACACTGCCTGGTGGTCATGCCGTGCCATGCCATATCCATGCACATCCTGCAAACCCATCACGTCACTCCCGGTTTACCCGGCCTTGTACCAACCTCTGCCCTGGCCAGAGCCACCCAGAGCCAGATGGTTCATCCCAGCAACTCCACACACACAGGCTTCCTTCCAGCTCCATTACGGTCTCTGCTCCCTCACCACAAAAGGACAAACATTTCCCTCTTCAAACCCAATTATCCGCTGCTATTTATACCGAGCGGGAGCCGCGGTGGAAGGGGCTCTGTTACACAACCCAGTTACTCATCCCTCGCTCCGCTGGCACAACTCGGGGAGGCTCCTTCCTCCCATCCTCATCCTCATCCTCCCCACTACCCACCACTGACTCACAGGAAAGGCACAGGCAGCTGCCAGCAGTGGATTTAGCTCCTGGAACATGCGGGATGGTTTGGCACTCACTCTGGGGTCAGTCGGTCGGTGCAGTGGAGTGTTGATACCCTACAACTAGGGATGCAGGGATGTTCCATCCCTATAAGCTTTGCCACATCATCAGCACTCCGATGATGCTCCAAATCCAATTCCCAGACATTTGATGTTTGGGAGTAGTCAGTCTCCTACACTCCTGAGGATTGAGCTGGAAAAGGGGGTGGAAAATGGAGGGAAAACATGAGAGAGAGTGTGTGTGTCATCAGAATTGCCCTGGACGGGGTTTTTGGGTGCAAAAGTTTAGGTTGTCCCACTCCTCGTGCTTGATGGAGGGGATGCATGTACCAGCAAGCTTGGAAAATGGGAGCTGTGGCTTATCTGCTGGGAAATTAAGGGCAAAAACCATAAAATAAGGGAAATAAGGAGAAAAGTGACCATGTGAAGGAAAAAAAGGGGGGGGACGAAAATAAACAAGGGATAAGGTAAGGGTGGGAAAAAAATAGAGGATAAATGCTTAGTTGGTGGGAAAGGCGAAGGGTTTAAACGGAGCGATGGGCTCGGGGAGGCCCCACTCGCGGAAGTGGCATCGTGGGGGACGGGACCGGCACCGCAACGCCCCGGACACGGCGGGAACGGGGAACCGGCGGCTCCGGGGCACTGCGGTGCCGGTCCCGTCCCGGAGGGATTATCCCGGGGAAAAGAATGCGGGATCTTACCTGTCGTGCGGCTCCACCGGAGCCCCCTCGGGCACCGGGGCCGCGGCCATGGTGCTGCGGGGAGAGGCGGGACCGGGCGGGGAGCGGCGGGGGCGGTGCTGGCGCGGGGATGCCCGGGAATTGTAGTGCGGGACCGGGAGGGAGCGGGAAAGGGGGCGTGGGGAGTGATTTTGGGTGATGTGCGGTGCAGGCGGGTGGTGGGAGCACGGGTGGGTGCTGTGGGGGGTAGGTGGGTAGCGTGGGGTAGAGGTGGGTGATGCGGGGTGTGGGTGGGTGCCCTGGGCACGAGTGGGTACTGGGGGGGATAGGTGGACACTGTGGGATGCAGGTGGGTGTTGGAGCACAGGTGGGTGCTGTGGGGTGCAGGTGAGCACTGCAGGGTGATCTCAGCGTGGCTGGGCGCTGTAGGGCACAAAGGGGGGGGGTTGTGGGGTGCAGGCAGGTGCTTTGGGGACGGGTGGGTGCCGTGGAGTGAGGAGGGTGGGTGCTTTGGGTACGAATGGCTGCTGTGGGCATGGGTGGGTGCAGGTGGGTGTTTTGGGCATGGATGGGTGCTGTGGGATGCAATAAGTGCTGTTATCACGGGTGAGTGCTGTGGGGCAGCTCTGCACCCCATGCCCAAGCAAACCCCCCTCCCCTTTCCCCCCACCCCTTATTGCTGCCAGCAGAACTGGGGGCAGCAGGATTTGGGTGGTCCCAGGCCCTGACCTGGTCACAGGGGAGTGGAGAAGCTGGGGGAACCCCAGCCCTGTGGGGGTCCCAGGGCGCTGGGTGGGATCTTGGCATTGTGCTCCCATCTCGTGTCTGGGGTCCCCCGGGGCAGAGGTTTGTGGTACCACATGTTTGGGGGGGCCAAGGCAAGCGCTGCTTTTGGGGTCTCCATCCTGCCTTTGGGGAGCCTTTCCATAGGGAAAGGCCGGGTTCTCAGCCAGCAGGGAGATCAGTCTAAATCTGTCTCTGACTTGGGTTCGGTGCCAATAAAACCATTAGGGAGCAGAAGAGGATTTATTCCCACGCTGGGAGGACCAGGAGGTGGGGCCCGGGTCCTGCAGAGCTCCCCAGGGAGGAGAGGTCTTGGGCTGGATGCGGCCCCTGGGGCTGGGAGACACTGGATGCTGCTGATGGCATGGGTGGATTGGGAGCAGCTTTAGGGGGATTTCTATTCCTAAAATAGGGGAGTCGTGGGCAGCTGGGCACTGGGCTGTGGGCACCGGGGATCATCTGGCTCTGGAGATCCTCCTGTCACCAGGATTGCCAGCTGTGCCAAGTGCTGGTGCAGGAAGCATCCCTAATCCTCACTCTCCCCAGCCTCCCCATTCTGGTTTTGGGCGCACCCCTGGGCCAGGGACCATGCGCTCAATCCCCAGTGGATGGGGAGGTCCCCTCAGGAAGGACAAATCCAAACCCATCGGATCCCACGTCCAACCCTCCCTCCAAACTGCCAAATAACGATGACAGCAGTGCTAATAAAAAATCAATAACCATTTATTCGATACAGCTGTTTCATACATACAGTACAGGGAGCGCCTCCGCAGGGGCTCGGCTGCTCAGAGCTGCTCGGACAGTACTCTCCAACTGAGGATTTGTCAATGATTAACAAAAGAACAGATCGTCACAAATCGGGAGTTTATTATAAGATAGTTTACCGTTAAAACAATTTTATTTTTTGCAAATAAACACTTTTTAATATATATATTTATATATTTATATATATGGTTACAAGTGATAAATTGAAAATTCTTTTTTTTTTCCTATTTTTTTTTTTAATGTTTTCATTTTTTCCCCAAAATACACTTATGCACTAATAACTGGCATCGACGAGAAACATTCGGATATGCCGTGGGATGGGTGTCACGAGGAGAGAAAGAAAAGAACAAAATGCTCCTCCCAAGGTTCCTGGGTGTGAGAGATGCTCCAGGCCCAGGCAGCTCCATCCACTGTGGCTGGATTTGGCCCTCGCTTCCCGCCTGGAGCCGGCACAGCACAGCCACCCTCACCGGGGTGTGGTGTCAGTGCCAGGGGTTCCTCAGCCACAGCAGCCCCTCATGACTGAAGCCTTCCATGAGGTCTTCCCATGGAGTTGCAGTCCATCCCTGCTCCCACAGAGGTTTAGCCCTTTCCTTGGGGACACGGGTGACGGGATGGTGGCTTTCCACAACAGCGGAGGTGTGGGACCACAGTGTCACTGTCCCCAGGGTGACAAAACTCCCAAATCCTGCAGATGAGGGGATGAAGGGGACAGGACACCTTGTCCCCCCATCTGGTCCTGCAGCCTCTGCCCATCCCTCTGGATCAAGGTGGTTTCCCAGCTGGTGCTGCCTCACTAGGAGCACCTGAAGGGGCACAACCCGCTGGCCCCAGCAATGCCACTGTGGTGTCACTCAGCCCTGCCCACTCGCTGGCAGCTGCTGGGGTCCTGGCATTGCTCTGGAACCTTCCCCGGACAAGCAGGAGAGTTAAGGATGTCTCATGGAGAAAGTGGGGGAACATGTTCCTCTCTGAGTGATGACTAGTGGGGAAAACACCTTTTCAGGGGAAAAAAAAACCCTTGAAGATTTCATTTTCTCACGGAAATTCCCAACTGACCGCAGTGCTGCCCTCACCGGGGCTGTGCACGTTTCCCAGGTCTGAGGGTGACAGGGACAGCACCAGGACTGCCGCTCCTGCTGCTGACCCCAAGATCCCAGATGGTCCCTGGGGTCCCCTCCAGGCTGGTGTCACTCTGTGAGGTCACCACAGCTGTCCCTGCTCCTCTCAGGATGCTCCTTTGCAGACACTCTTGTTAAGGAAGCAGATGTTGGGTTTTGATGTGGACTCCCTGACAACTCCCCAAGCCGGCCCTTCCCTGGGTCTCCCCTGCCCTGAGCAGCTCCCAGGGCTCCCCCCACATGGAGCACAGTGCTGCCTCTTAATTTAATCAACGAGAAGCCAATTAATTGCACATTAATGAGAACGGAGCCCCAGGCTCTGCCCAGGGGGAGGCGGTGAGGATTGTGTGGTGACCGTCCGAGCCAGCAGCCCAGGCCACCTGGGTCACCCCTCCCTGGGTCAGGACATGAAGTTTTCCCGAGGGCTTTCTTCGGTGGTGGGACATGATTTTGGGATGCAGCGGCTCCCTCTGCCCCTTTGCAGAGATTTCAGTGCCAGGTCCCCATCTCTGCCCGCTGTCCCCTTCCTGCTGCTGCTGGCCTCCCCAGCAGCCCCAGTGTGCCCCCCAAACACCCTCTGGGGGTGGGGGGTCACTGCCCTCCCACCCATTGTGGCTTTGATGAGGGCACACAGGCTCAGCACCAGAGCACGCCACTGCCAGGACAGCGCCCCAACGTCCCCATGGTGACAAAGAGCGAGCAGCTCCGAGCGTGCACATCCTACACCTCCTGGAGCTCTCCCCCTTCCCCGGGGAGGCAGGATCTGCCCCGGTGACAGCATCCAAACACAGATCCAATGAAGAGCAAGCAGTGACCAGGCTTCGTCGCAGTGACTAATTAAGCTTTCTCACTAATTGCCTCGAGGCCCAGCGCAGCCAGCAGTGCTCCAGCACATTCCCTCACCCGCAGGCACGTGCCCAGCTCACTGGGTAATGCAGAGCGTGGATCCAGGGGCCAGAGCCATGGGCAGAGCAGGAGACCTGGCTCCCCGAGAAGCCCTGGCTTCAGCCACCACCATTCCCCCTCCCTGCCCGGCTGGAATAACCTGCCAGTGGAGGATGTTAATTATGACTGAGCCGCTGCTCGAAGCCAGGGAATGATACCAAGCCTCTAGCGGGCAGCAAGGAGCAGCGACTCCTCGGAAAGCGAGGATTGAGGTTTGAACTGATTAAAGCAAAAGCAGAAGCTCTCCCTCCGATGCCACTTTCCTGGCTCTGCATAGGGAAAAAATCGAATTAAGGTTTTCTGTTCTGTTACCGAGAGGAAACATGCCTGTTTCCCAAGGACCGAGGTAGCCTGGTTTTGTCTGGAGACGGATTATGTCCTGGTCCAGGGAGGGAGGGTTCCCTCTGGGCTGGAGTGAGGTGTGATGACCGTGTCAGCACAGGTGCAAAGAAGAGCCCGGGGAAGAGCACAAGCAGGGACGGCACCACAGGGACCTCCCATCCCGAGGGGGATGATCGGGGGCTCAGATGCATCTTTGGGAGCAGGAACTCCCCCCACAGCGGGTCCCAGCCCAGAGGGACGAGGGGAGCGAGAGGTGGCCGGGCAGCGGCTGGGCTCGCCCCAAAGCAGGACCCGTGATTGTCACTTGATGCTGCCCCGTCCCCATCACACACCTCCCACGGCTGCAACTGGGGAACCGAGACCCCATTCCTCCCTTTAGTGTGATTGGATAGAGCACAATGGGACTCTCAACCACCCTTGGATGCCCCCCCAGGTTGGGGGGGCAGGTTGTTGGCTGCCATCTCCCCCTGACCCCGGCACCGCCAGCTGCGTTTGCAAATACAATCCGAGCACAGCTCCCTCACTGCGCCCCCTCCTTGGTCGCACTGCCACGCTCCACGGTGCCCACAACATTCCCCCAACCTTCCATTAAACCCTCCAACCCGACCAGTCCCACCTCCCGCTCTCGCCCCCCGCACCCCCAGCCCTGGTCACACTCCGTGCCCGCGTTCCCTGTTCCCTCCTCTGCCTGCGCCGCTGAGACAAACCCTGCAAAACCGACACCCCACGGAGCCGATCCCTGCCAAACGCATTCACCCTCGACCTGAGGCAGCGGGGAAAGTGCTGCCGACCCCCCCCGGCATCCGCTGCTGGACCCTCTGCCCGACCAGGTCAAACATCTTTGGAAACATTGCCCTGGAGCTGGAAGGCTGGGGCCCGCTGGAGGCTGCCAGGCAGGCGGGCAGCTCCCTGCCTCGGCACGATGCTGCTGGCGGAGGGTCCCCATCCACGGGACCCGCTGCTATTGCACTTCTCTTTCACTCAAGCGTCACCAGTTTGGCGCAGGGGAGGGAAATCACGGGCTGGGAGAGGCAGCGGGGTCCCACCGAGGGGTATGTACAGAGGCAGGGGGTGGAGAACGGTCCAGCTTCCTTGATCCTGTTTGTTTTCCAGTGTGAAACAAGGTCCGTGACTTGTTTAAAGTGGTTAATTGGTATTTTCTGTCTTTTTTTTTCTTTTTTTTCCTTTCTTTTTGTAAAAAGAGGGTGAGAGGAGGGTGGGGGGAAGGGAGGTGGGATTGGGAAGGAGAGGACATAAAACCGGGAGAGACCCCCACCCTGTTACCCTGGGCTGTAAACGAATCCTTGGACATGAGTCTCTGAGCTGCTCATTTCTCAGGCATCTTGCTGGCTCCTCCCTTCCGCTGGCCTGGGGGCTTGGGGACATGCTCGTCCCCCTCGGGGCTGCCCCGGGAGCCTTCCCAGTGCTCGAGGGTTTTCTTGTGATTAGTCTTTGCTGCCACGCTTTCTTTACCCTTTGGAGACATTTCTGGAGGCCTCTCCTTGGGTTTCCTCCCTCTTTTCTTCCCGTTTGTGCTTTTCTTTTTCTCCTCTTTGCTGGAAGAAAGCTGTTCCCTGTTTTTCTTTTTCCGGCTGGCCTCTGAGGAGGTTCGGAACCAGTTCTGTGTCCATGGGGTGACACGGGGGTTAGTGACTGTCCAGGGGTCAGGCACTGGCACCAGCACACAAAACCCGAGCCGGGGCCACCCCACACCCCGCTGGCATCACCTCCCCAGGACAAAGTGCTCAGCCTGGGGGTTTTGGGGACACCAAAGGGGATAGGAAGGACCCCCCCAGGCTGTCACAGCATCATTGATGCTGCTGGGAGCTGGTGCCGAGCTCTGCTCTCGGCAGACATGGATGAATGGATGGATGGATGGACGGATGGATGGATGGATGGATGGAGAGGGACAGCCCAAGGATGGGCACTTTGGAGCAGGGACCATCCCAGCCCAGCTCCAGCTGCTTCCTTACCTCCGAGTGAGCCTTGATGATGTGGTACTTGACGCCGCTCTCGGAGCTGAACTCCTTCTGGCACAGGAGGCAGCGGTACTTGCCCACCAAGTGGTCTCCCTGCAAGACAGAGCAGCCTCCTGCAGAGCCAAAAGCGGCCCGGAGGGGTGGCCCCACCGGCCCCAGCCCGGCCCTGACTCCCCTGTGACCTCAAAGTGACACAAAACAAACGCTTGTGTCTAAAGCACCAGATCTCTGCTGGCCTCGGTGCCAGGCCAGGAGCTCACAGCCACATCTTCTCTCTGATCTTCAGCCTGTGCTGCAGCCTGTGTGTCCCCAGCAACACCAACGACATCGGGTGTGTCCCGGGGCTGATGGGGCCATTGCCCTGTGTCCTCACTGTCAACAGATCTGTGATCTCCCGGGACTGAACCACTGTCAGATTTATGTCCAACACTCACCTAATTTTCCTTTTACGCTGTCAAAGAGCCACAGTGACTGCTGGATTCCTGTCAACAGAGCCCTGGTGGGATGACGGATCTCCCGGCTCTGCTGCAGGTCACGGCATGCGGGAGATAATGTGCTCTCTCTTGACGAGGGGGTTATGGATGGGCCCCTCCAGGCAATATATTTCCTCCCTGGGAATTTCTCTGTAGCTGTAAATCTGGAGTTAGATGGGTCTCTCATTTCAGGAGAGGGCAGGGCTGGCCCCACTACAGAATGGCTTCAGGAATACTCATGCAAAATCATCTTGGTGCATCAACCCCCACTGAGGATGGGGTGCTGCCTGGGAGCAGCCTCCATTCTCACTAAGGCTTGATATATTGCAACCAGTTCTGCAGGATTTTACAGTAGGAATCACAGGCCAGCTCTGGAGGGGTTGTGATTTATTTATGCCCAATTTGGTGGCACATGTATCCAAACTAAATCCTCAGTAAGGTGAAGAATCCAACTGATGGCAGTGTGGGGGCCACAGAGCAGCAATTCCCCCAGTGCTGACCCCCAGCACCCAGCCCCAGCTGTGCCAGATACAGAGTGTGCAGCTCTGTAGTTCATGGAAAGGCTCATGCAGATCCTGGCTGCTTCCTGTGTGTGGAACCAGCCAGAAACCAGGTCCATTTTCTCTTGGACAGCAAAGGAGCTGCCCCAGTCTCCCGTGTTTGCTCTTTTATCCTGCATAAATCCAACTTCTCCTGCTGGATCTCTGCAGCCCATTTTCTAAATTATCTCATTAAGAGCTGCTGTTCCAGCTAGCGCTGGAGGAAAGCAGGAGTTGGTGTTTTTAATAACCATGGGATATGGATTGGAGCTGCCTCCTGGAAGCTCCATTCAATGGAAGCTGCAGCTGGAAATGTTCCGGGGTATAAAGCTTTAGCAGCTCTTACTTGGTTCCAATTTGAGGGACCTACTCTGAGCTCCCAATCCCTCCCCTGTGGCAGCTGCAAGCCACTGGAGCTCAGGGCTGCTCCCTCAGGCAGGAGGGCATTGGTCTCTGCACGGACCGGCCGCCTCTTCCAGCCTCAGCTCATCCCAGGAGGCACTGCAACAGCATCCTTCCAGCTGTACTTCCAGAGGGGTTGCAGGGCTGCCTAAATCAATGGAGGAAGACTCCTGATTCCCACCTGCCTCAGGGAACATTCAGTTTCTGACCTCCAGCTCCTTGGCTCTGAGGTGCTGGGGCTGATGTGTGGCTGTGTGAGGTGCTGGCCATGTTGGGTAGTCAAGGGCTCATGAATGATTTGGGGGCTGCAGGAACCAGCTGGGCAAGGGCTACTGAGGGATGGGGGGACACGAGGCAGGATGGCTTGGTCCCACTGCTGTGTCCCTGAGACACTCCATGTGTTAGAGGTCTGGGCTCTTGAGGGAGATGTTCGTGTTGTGGGACCTCTGCTCCACAGTTGGGATGGCAGCTACATCCCCTCCATCCCATCTGCTCTGCTCGAGCCTCTCTGCCTCCATCTGCCTGCTGACAACTCACTGTGAGCAGCACTGCCTGGGCAGCCCTGCCAGTGGCCACCATCCTTTAACCTGTGCATTGTCCCTTGGCCTGTCCCTTCCAAAGCAGCTGGGGGGGAAGAGAAAACCAAACCCCAAAGACACCTCTGAGACAAGGGTGTAAAAGGAGGGACCCACCTTGTTGCAGTTGGCCAGGTGAGCTTTCAGCCCCGAGACGCTGGAGTAAATGGCTTCACAGAACTGCAGGAAGAAACAAAGCAGGGTTAGACACGATCCCCCTCATCTGCCTTCCTCTGAGCCAGGGCCAGCAGCCCGCTGAGCCAGCACAGCCACCGGTCCAGGCTGAGCAGTGTGAGGTTAATGCTCTGTGAGGCGCCGAGGGCTCTGGTCACACGTTTCCTATTAGTGCTAATGGGAGTCATGTGGCCACATCCCTCTGCAACAGGCTGAAAAACGTCTCCCCTAAATGTCTCCGTGGAAAACGGTACATTTGCGAGCTGTCGGGAGGTCCTGCTGGGCTACAGGAGTTCTTGGAGCCACAGCAGAGGCTTAACGGAGAGGACAAATCACCAGGGCAGCAGCATGACCAGTTTCTGAGCAACGTCTTTTTCAAGTGCCTGTGTATGACATTAATTAGCCAGCCCGGCTCCCCCGGCCTTGTGGGAACAGCCTCCTTCAGAACTCCCATTAGCAAGGCTTTGTTTGGGATGATAAATCCAGGCCCTGCACCAGGGTGGGGTTCACCTCCCTGCCAGCTCAGGCCAAGACTGTGTTTCACAGGGAGATGAAGTGCCTGCACCATGCCCTGAGGTTGCTGCCTGTCACAGGGCTTTAAAAAGCTTGGCTTAAATCCAGCCCAGCTTAACTCTGGGAAAAGCAGGTTCTCTGCATTAAAAGGCTCCTGAGCACAGGATGCACAGCCTTTGCCCGGTCTGGATCTCAGGAGCTTTCCAAAGGCAGCTCTGGAGCCTGAACTGGGCAATGCTGAACCATCAGCCCAAGACTGGCCCAGTCCCCAAGGGTGAGCACACCAGGAGGATCCCAAAGGTGGGACATGCTTTGATGAGGCACAGCAGCAAGCCCAGGGAAAGGAGATGAAATGAGTGTCTGAACATCACTGTCATCTGAGGCCCAATGAGAACCTGCTTTGGTGGGTTTCTGGCCCCAAAACTCCCCCTTTCTCCTGCAGACTGAGACCAGCCGGCCTGTGGCAGAACAGAGACAGTCCTTACATTGTTGGGACAGTTGATGCGGCCCTTCTCCTTCACTTCGTTCTTCCAGTTTTCCAGCAGCCTGGGATTGAGCTTTGGAAGCCCTGGTCGGGTGTAATTGAGCTGCGAACAATAGCAGAGGATTAGCAGAGCTGCACACCCCAGCCTGGTCTGTGGTGGAGTCCTGCCTCTTCACACGGGTCTTGTCCCCACCCGAAGTTAATCGGAGCTGAAAACTACTTGTGAGGCTTCCCCCAGAGATGCCATTCCCCTCCCCAGGCACTGCAGACTGTGGGGGTGGCTCTGCCCACTGCTGTGCCTCCGGCAAGGAGTCCCCAGCAAACAGGAGAGGGGAGGCTCCTGCTCCTGCTCTCAGGTCCATGCCCGGCCACAGGGCCAGGCCTGGACCCAGTGTTTTCGGTGGATGGTGTTGGCACAGCCCTTCTGCCGTGTTTCATAACCGGGGGAATAAACAACCCTGCACACTGGGCAGAGGGGACGACGCCAGGAGCCTCCATGGCTGCCTTCCATGGATGAATGGGCACAACCCGTCAAACAATGAAAGGCTCTTGTGCCTCTGCCTCTCCTTCTGGCAGGGCTGCTCCTTCCAAGTGCTTTTAATTACCGTTTTATTAACGACTTTGAGGGTTAGCATAGCGGGCCGGCCTTCCCAACCCCAGTTCTGCATGTTCAGCACAAGTCAAGGCTGCAGCTCCGGGCATCTCTGGGCCTCCTGGCTGCTGTGCCTGGCCCTACCTGTGGGGTCGGTCCCTGCCTGACACTGTGCCACCGTGCCAAGGTCTGCAGGGGACACCAGCCTGCACAGCCATGCCAGCACGACTCCCAGCCCACCCTGGTGAGCTCTGCCAGAGCCGATGGATGTTGTTTGGGTCTCAAGCCCCAAACTTGCCCTGAGTGGGAGCAGTGCTGGGTGAGCCCACAGATGACAAGGTGCAGGCGTAGGTACCTGAGCATGTGCCACTCTCCATGGGCACCTCCGAGCATGGACCATGGCTGCATCCCTGGATGGAGAGGACGCAGAGCCAAACAGTGCTCGCAGAGGTGCAAACCCAGGAGCTGTTTTTAAAACGTTCCCTGAGGACCCGGGGCTGGTGGTTCAGAGGCAGCGGGAAGCTGGCTGGATTTCTTTTCCAGCTGTGACTTTTCCTGAACATGCTGATAAAGTTGCAAATCTGCCTTTGTCCAGCTCCCCCCAGCTGTTCCCAAACCTCCCTGCAAAGGGAAGCTCGGGATGTGGAGGGCTCAGATGCCAACCGCTCATTTCCACTCAAATTGAAGTGATCTATGTGCCCCTGCTGCCTTCCCCTTGGCACGTGGCAGGGCACGGCCGGAGCAGGGAGCCCGTGGAGTGCTGGGCTCCATGCGAGGGGCACAGGGCCTTGCAAAACGGCGCCGCGAACGCCGGTACAGATGGATGTGGATGTGGAAAACTCCCCCGAGCCCCAGCGTGCTGCTATTCTGTCGTGCTTCGTGGCTGGGGGAGATGCCAACAGAGCTCTTTGAAGCTCTGGGATGGTGCATCTACCAAGCGCTTGGTCCCCCACCCAGGGAAGGCAATGTCACCTCCAGGGGAGAACACAGGAGTCCCTTTCAGCAATTGATACTGAGAGCCAGGATGCCAAACGGCCTCCATAATTAAAAACCAATCAATCCCATGAATGAGCAAACATTAATGGTAACCGCACACAGCCCCAGCAACAACCTCTCCCTCCGCACATCCCCGGGGGAGGAGGCGAGGGGGGATGTTCAGAGATGTGGACTCTGCTGCTCTGCTTTCCCACTCCAGAGAAAAATCCCTCCCCGCTCTCCTCCAACAGCCCTGCACAATAACATGCAAATCCCATGTCTTCCCGGGGCGCTGCGGTTCTGGGAATGTCAAAGTCATCTTTATGTCTCTATTAAGAGGGAGCCCCAGGCATGGAATATTTTATATTTTTTTTCTTTTCCATTTATTTCCCTCAAACAGCCTGTAAGTGAAAATCTTCATGGCCAAATCATTAAACGACTACAACTGGTTTTGGCTGCAGCCCATCTCTTCTGAACAGTCGAAGGATGCTGGGCTGGGAAGGTTTGTTTTCTTTGACTGACGGTTTTATTTAATTAACTTTCATATTTCAATCCTCTCTGCTCCTTAGACAGCTCTCCCCTTCCCCAAAATATATCGCGGTAAATGAGAACCATGTGGGATGTCTCAGCCAAGGAGCGCCCCTGGAAGCCTCATCCAGGTCCCCAGCACGAGGCATGGCTCTCCCAGGGCCCCGTGGAGGCTGTGGGTGATGCTGTCTTGGAGGTGAAGCCAAAATGCACCCAAGGGTGCTGGATGGCAGCCAGGTCCCACAGGAGGGTCACACCACGCCGGCGCTGCCGAGCAAGGGGAGGAAGGGCGGACTCGGCCCCGCAGCTGGAGCTGGGATCCGGTTTGGCCCACCAGTGACACGAGTCCGCAGGGCTCAGCCTGGCTCCCCCCCAGATCGCAGGGCCATTGTTTTGGGGGATAAACCCAAGCCAGCCTCTTCTGCTCCGGAATTTATCCTGGTTCCAGTATAAAACCTCAAGCCTGGAGATGACTTTTCCCCTTTAGCTTTATGACTGGCCCACAGCAGTCCTTCGCTCTGAACCCCCGGCACCCCACAGCATCGAGGCTCCATGGGGATGTGCAGCATCCATGGCTGCCCTCAGCCCTGTAACAGCACCACATCCTGAGCCCTGGGGAGGTGAATGGGGTGTTCTTGCATCCCACAGAGGAGCTCTGCATCCCCCTCTGTACAGGATCGTGGCTGCCTGGGCTGCAGGAGCCCAACACCATCTTCAGCACCTCGAAGCAAGCAACACCACCTCGAGCTCTACCAGGAAGGCATCACACCATGAAACAGTGGGATTTCCATGGCATTTTCTCCCCTCTTGCCCCTTAGATGCCTCTTCCCTCTGCTCGAGGAGGTTGTTTCTCATCCCCCACTAGATCCCCGGAGCCCACCATTGCCTGCCTATGCCACCAAGCTGGGTGTTCCCTGCAGCCTCTCACTCCTTCTGTGGCAGCCCCAAGGCTGCCCATGGGCAGCGAAGGCCAGAGGAAGGTCAGAGGGTCGGCAGCATCTTCACGGAGCTTCTGCAGAGGGGATTTTTCCCAGAAAAGCAGCAGGGGTGTGCCCTTCCCCATCTGACAAGCCCAGCAAGCGGCTGTTGTGAAACACCCCATCTGTTTCAGCTTATCCGGAGGCAAATAAAGATCGGAGCGAGAAAATAAGACTCCAGTGTATATTTAGAAATGCTGGATTTGGTTAGCGCAGACCGAAGGCAGCGCAGGGCCTGGGATCGAGCAGCAATCGTTTATTCTAATGCCATTGCTTTGGTGTGAAGGAATCCATTCTCCTGGGGAAAGGCGAACGCATCCCACCACGGGCCACCAACGGGATCCAGACCCAGCGTCCCTCTCCCCGGCTGGGACCAGCTGCCACGTGGCCACAGCACAGGGGCTGCAGTGGGGCTGTGCCTGCTGAAGGCTGCAAACCTCTGTATCCCATCGGCTTGCTGAGGAGCTGTGCCTTCCCCTGGGAAAAAGTTTTGCTGCCTGGAGAAGGGATGGAGAGGAGGGGTGGCTTTCTTCATCAGCTTCCTTGGAATCCATGTTGACTGCTGGGACCGCTGGTGTGGAACTCAAAGAGTTCAGGGATGGAGCTGCATCGTTTGGGTGTATCCATCCACCACTGGTTACAGATCAGAGCTGGGACTCATCTGTCCCTCAGGAATCCTGGAAATCCCCAGGGTTTGCTGAGAAGAGGCAGGAGCAGCTGAAATCTGCTGCCAATCCCTGACATCCCACCTCTCCCCAGGTCCACTGAGGGGCTCTGCAGACCCAGCAGCATACTCCCCATGGTTGGGTAAGGCTCAGAGGGAAGAAGAGGTGGTGGTGCGGCGGCTCTTCTGGGAATTCCACCATTTCCCATCAGTCCTGCCATGCTGGTCATGGTGAACTGGTGTTTTTCTTCCTGCTGCTCTGGTGGCTGTGGGCTGTCAGCTCCCTCGGGGACAGCCACCACACACACTCAGTGGGGTGGTGGCACGGGGACATGGGGACACTGCCTGCTGCTCTAAGCCTCCCACATGGCACAGGGCTGTCCTGCCAGCACAGCTGAAGGCATTTCTGAGGGAAGGGCTGTTCGGGGCTGTAACGGGGTCAGACTGGGCACTTAGTGGCATGTTTGAGGCGCTCACAGCTGGGAGGTTTTTTCCACGCCCTGAACTGAAGCAACTTGTAAACCCAGAGGGGTCCTGAGCGACGCGAGACGGCTCAGCAGAGCAACACAGAGCGTGCTGAAGTCAGCAAGTTCCCACCAGCCTCCCCAGGCAGAACCTGCCTCCCACCTCCTTCCAGCACCGCTCGTCGAGAAAAAATGTCATAGACTGAACAGATTACGGAGTGTTGTCAAGGGAACGTGACAGCCACTGCAAGACATACCCACAGGCACACACAACTATGTACATATTCACCCACCACACTGATTGCCTCCAAAATCCATGGAGGATTTCATGCAGGGCCTGAGGTCCCGATCCTTGTTTCGTCACCTGGGAGCTGATCCAATTCCCCCCTTGCCCATTCTCAATGCAAAACTGCTTCTGCCAACCTCACAGCAATTCCTTGTTTTTTAGCACCAAGATGGGGCTCAGTTAAACTCAAACAATTAGACTCTGAACACAAGAGATGTCTCATAAAAAAACCCCACCAGCATTTCATGGAGCAATTACAGCAGCGCTGAGACCTTTACGATGCCTTTGTATGTCAGCCTGAACATGTGTCCCTTGTCCAGGCCTGGGGTCCTGGCTGCTCCTTCAATTCAAACAGAAAATATCCAAAGTCATGAGTAAGGGAAGCAATTCCAAAAGGAAAGAGAGGAACACAAGAGCTGAGGCTGGAGGGGGGAGAAGAGAGCAGCACACCTCTCCTCATGCAGTATTTGAAATGAAACAGCTACTTTGGGCTTGATTTTTTTATGTTATAAATGCATTGCAGCTGAAGTCATCTGGAAACCAACAATGGCACCACCAAGCAGTGGGGAAATAAAAAACTTTGCAACCAGTTCTGGCCCTAGAACCCCCAGCTCTGCTCTGTGGCAGCATCATGGTTGGATCCCCTTCTGTGCCAGTGCCTCACCAGGATGTCAAGGTGGGTAAAGAAGCTGCTGGTTTGTTTCTGTGCTGGTTTTCCAGCTGCCTGCCACGTGCAGACTGGGATCTGAGCCAGGCTGAGCTCCTCTGGGTCTCTGCAGGACTATGCTCTCCCAATGCCCTCTGATCCACACTCCCATCTTTGCAATGTGCCCAATATCCTGCCCAGTGTGAATTTTGGAGCTCTGGACAAGAGATACCCAACTGTTCAGAGCAAGGAATAGACCTGGCACCCAACTGCAGAGTTGCCTGCTCAGGAAACAGGCCACAGCTCAAGCAGAGACTTGCAGGATGGCTCTGCACTGAGTTCTGGCAGATGAAAATACTCTGATTCCCTCTCTTTTTTCCTCTTTTACACTGAAAAGGTTTACGATTTGCTGCTGCTTCATTCCTTTTACAGTCCAGAAGGAGTGTACCTGGAGGGAATTTCAGCTTTGGGACGCTCCCAGGAATAATCACTTCTTCCCACAGCCAGGAGGGAGATTTGGTTTAACCAATGCCTACACAAAGCTCAAACCTTCTGGAGCCCCATGCAGACCCCACAGCACCGGGCCACGAGCGCATCGCTGCTGGAGCCCGCAGGGCTTAGCCCTGCCTCCACTCTCCACCTTCCTCTGCTCACAGCAGCACTGCTCTGGGATGCTGCAGGCCCTTTACCTCCAGGAAAGCATCTCCCAGAAGTTAAGGAAGAGACGTGAAGGGAGGGAATTCTGCCTGGAGCATCTTTGCTCTCTGACAGTGTAAGAGAGATCATTTCAGGTCCGACCTCTGCTCTCTTCACATGCTCCTCTTGGCTGCCAGCACGGACCAGAACCGACCCTGCTCCACAAACAACATCCTGTGGGCTGGACTCTGATTTCTCCCCAAAGCACCACCCTTTGCTCCATTCCACCCAGTGGGAAAGGGCAAAGCTGCCTGCAGCTGGGAGCCTCCAGACCACAGGGGCTCAGCCTGTGCTGGGTGGGCTCTTCAGCAATAAATCTACCATCACAGCTAATTAATTTAAGACACAGCAAGGGAGACACGTGAGCCCTCAGCCATCTGGGGCCAGGCAATCATCCTGGGATCTCTGTGTACAGCTGGGGCCAGGCAATCATCCCAGGATCTCCATGTACAGCGGGGGCCAGGCAATCATCCTGGGATCTCCATGTACAAACAAAAGGAGAACTAAAGGCTGCTCACCCGCTTCGTTTCAGGCACCAAGTCATCCTTCATCCTCCGCTTGGTCCAATCCCTGGCGAGCTCATCCTCCGCTATCTCCTGGAGGTGAAAGACGGCCACTTGGGCCGACGTCCGACGGATGCGGCCGCTCGGGGTCCTCTCGAAATCTTCTATGGGAGCAGGCTCCTGCTTCACCTCTGGCTCCTCCGGAGGCTGCAACAGAGACAGAGTCAGGAAGGGCATGACAAGAGAACAGGTGAGCTCTCCGGCCCTAGGATGGGGATGCTGGGATTTGGGCTGTGTGTTTCCAGACCTGCTTTGCGCCTCTGCACGAGAGCACTGGAACGAAGGGAGCACCCACCCGCTCAGCCCAGCAGCCAGCCATGAGACAGACCAATTGTGTCCCGCGTGTATAAATGTCTCCAGTTATTAGAGTTAGGGAGTGATTAGCGTTGGATGCACTGTCAGGAGGGATCAACAGAACAGAAAGGGATGCTCCCCAGGGACAGATCCTGCCACCCCAGCCGGTGCTTGTGAGGGAGTGGCCTGAGCTCTGTTTTTTTTCCCTGCAGAGCATGGATGCAGAGTGGGCTGGAGCACAGCCCAGTGGGCACTGGGGAAAGGGAGCACTGACGATCGCATCGCTCCTGTAAATACAGTACCCTGCCTTTTTGCAGGGGCAGAGGGGCCTCCAGCCTGTTTCCCCCAACACTGCAGGGTACAACACGTGTGTGGTGATATGAGGGAGAAAACAACATCAGCCCGACGTCTGCACCTGCCTTGCCCGGCCCGGCCCTGCCCGGCTCTGTCCTGCCCACGGGCTCCGCAGCAGCTCTGCAGTCCCCCCCAGGGGGAGGTGGCCCAGCTCCTCGGGCTGCGGAAGCATCCGGGGGGCTCACCGAGGCCGTGTGTTCTGACCGCACATGGTAGTCGTGGCCAGCCTTTGATTTGTACTTCTTGCTGCAGTGTGGACAGCTGAAAACAGGCTTGTCGGCCTCGGTGAGCTGCTTCCCACACCGCTTCTGGTGGTACTGGTAACCCATCAGGCTGGAGAAGTTGGCCACGCAGCCCTACGGAGATGGGGAGAAGGGAAAGGTTAAGGAGGGCTGGGGCTTCACGAGCCCATTTTCGAAAGGTTGGGATGCCGTTGCTCCAGGAAGGAATATCCCTGAGGAGCCCACTCTGCAGAGTAGATTCACCAACCTGTCCCATCCGAGTGATGGGGGATTTGACAATCCCCAAAGAAACACTCAACAGTGCCCTGGAGGGATGGGGGAAGCAGCCCCTTCCCCTGGCACTCCCTGCCCCCACCACATGGACAGAGCTCTCCAGACAAGACACACAGTGGGCAGTGGGAGGGGAAGGCATTGGGGAGGCACTGCCTGCATGGAGAGCAAAGCATCCGCGGGACAAACCTCTGCCACACACCCCCCCTTACCTGTTCGTGACTTGTCTGCAACCAGCTCGGCACTGTTTTCAGCGTGGTTTGCTTTGGTTTTATGCTGTGCCCGGGACAGTGCCGGCTGTGCCCCTTCCTGACTTCAGGAGGCAGAACCTGCCCTCCAGTGCTCCTCAGCCTGCCCTGTGCCCACCCTCTTGCCAGGCTGGCCTGTCGCCAGAGCACACAGAGCCAGTGGGATGGGGACTGGGATGGCTGAGCTAAGGTAGAAACGTAGAGCGCGTGCCAAGGGATGGCCTGGAGAGCACATGTCCCTCCGGAGAGCGCATGTCCCCCTCTGCACAGGACTCACTCCTTCCACCTTCTCATAGAACGAGAAACAGGAATCTTTCTCGTACCTCATTGGGGCATTTCAGTTTTCCCATCTGCTTTAGCACTTTCCTCAGCCTTTCCCGCTCTTCCTGTTCGCCAAGTCCAGCAGTTTCCACAGGAACAGGCTGGAAACAAGGAAGTAACAAGCAACAGAGTCAACCATTTACTCATGTCCTCTGTGCCAGGAGTGGGTGGTAAACCCCTGCCTCTCAGGAGCTGCCCTGGGCTGGAGGGAAGCTCTCCTTAGGAGAGCTGGATCTCCCACTGCTTTGCTGTTATGTGCTGGATCTGCTCCTGCTTTTCCTGTGTTTACACCCAAGAGGTCAGCTGAGAAACCCAGGAGCAGTTCCTGCATGGAGGATTCACCAGCCAAACTGAAGAGCAGGAGATTAAGGCACAGGTAAAAGACAAGTCACAACTGGTAAGCATGGGACATGTAAATATGCGGTTATGCCTTGCCCTGGTATCCTGGAGATGCACACGATCAGATTTTTAGAACAGCATCTAAACTGATGCCTGCAAAATTTTATTCATGATAAATTTTGTGGCTGCTTCTCCCATGCACGGTGGAGAGCTAAAGACCAGATTTTGAGATTCGTGCAAGGCAGAACCCATCAGTCCCAGATTTGTGGGCACGGTCTTAGAGGCAGAGCTTTGCCACTCAAAATCCGCCTCACCGTACTCACCGAATCTTCCCCCATGCCGGGATCTGAAATCCTGTTTTATTTTTTCAGTCTTCTGCTCTACTTATCAAGATGAACATGAGCCTAACTCGCTACCAGGGAAGGGAAAGCTTTTCTTGGTAGGGAAGGGGGAAGGCCGCTGTCTGGGCTGAGCAGTGTGTGAAATGCTGCAAAGATGGTGCTGTGATGCCTCCTTTACAAAGATCATGGAAATAGGACTGCCAATGGCTTCATCTTCTGCATCTGCACAGAGAAATAAGGCACGAGACAAGCACAGCCCACCTCCCTTACCTTGCTGACATGTTCAGCCATGGTGTGGTAATTCAGCCCAGCTTTAGACTTGAACTGCTTTTTGCAGTGCTGACACTTCAAGGCGTCCTGCAGCTGAAGGAATTAAAGACAAGTCACCAAGGAGGTCACAGCCCACCCTTCATCCTTCCAAGGGCTGCTGCTGCCTGTGAATAACCCTGTGGGTGGCTGTTGCTGCAGCAGTACCCAGCGGTGGGACCCAGCAGGCAATGCAGCCTCCCCATCCCTTCCTGCAGGTCCAAGCTTTCTCTCTGTCGTCCTGCATATTGTTATCAAACCCATATGCCCCAATTTTTGGAAAACATTTCACTTTGGATGTAGATTTAAAGCCTCACTGGCTGGAAACATCTGGACCTGGTGTCTTGGTCTTCCTGTTAAAGGGTTAGGAAAGAGAAGAAGCTTTGATCTACCGATATGTCAGCGGACTGTGCTCTGCAGCCCTGTTAACTAAGACAGATGCTGGTGTGCAGTGCACTTTCTGGGTGCCTGGGCTGCATGAAATGATGGACACAATCTCAGCAGAATCCTTCCTGCCTCATACTGCTCCGCTGTTTGACCCAACTCGGCCTCTTGAGTGCCTGGGGAGATGCATTATCTGCACACCCTGAGCTACAAGGGGCACTTGCAGACTGCATGAACAGATCTTGACTTTTGCTGGGGCAGGGACCAGAATTTACTGACTGAGGAGGTGAATGACAGGGAGCCAGTGTCTGGATGGCATTCCTGCTTCTCCCGCCTGGTGCTTCACCTTCACCACTTCCCCTTCAATCAAGCCTGGACTAAAAGCTGAAGAGAGAATGAAGATAGAGCTGCAAATCCCTCCTAATCCTGGAGCTCTGGGGAAATGAAGAATAAACTCACTGCAGCCAGCTGGGAGTGACTCACTGGTACCTGTGCTCCCAGCGGTTAATCTTGTTCCAGACTCAAGCACTTGATCCTAACAAGGTGGACACTAACAGCTCCTTGACCCAACAGATGCCAATGACAGTCAATTTGGGGTTTACTCCTCTGGTCAACAATTTAGCACGTGCCATGTCCACGTTCCAACAAGCCCTCCCACCTAGGACACCAGGAGAATACACCTGCCCTTGTTTCCTTCAGGCCCAAGCATGTTGCAACCATCCCCATCCGTTATTTCCTTTCCAAAACCAAAGGAAACAGGTGGACACTGCTTGGTGACAAGCAACAAATGGAGAAACCAATTTTCATTTTTTATAAGAGTTTTGGGATCCTGCACATCCTTGTCCCATTACCAGTCATTAAAGCAGAGAGCAAGCCCAGAGGGTGCCTGCACTCCAGGGTGGCTTCTGATGGGGATCACATGTGCCTGTGGCAGTGTGGCCTCACTAAGGACATGCCACAGGTTCATTTCAGGGATGGAATGCTCCAAGCTGGACCTGTGGTTACACACCTGAAGCTTGGGGACTGTCCTGCCTGGGCTGGGATTCTGAGAGCATCCCAGCTGCCTGAGCAGCACAGCCAGCCCCGGCAAGGACTGTCCCTCCCAGGAGGGTGACAGAACACTCCCTCCAAGGGCTGGAGCCCCGATTCCTTGGCTGAACACCCGCTGGTCTATTTGCGGGGAAGACACCACTGACTGCTCCAGCAGAGCTGTGCTCGGCAGGTCATCCAGCCATGCATCCCACATGGAGCCAACTTGGCTTGGGAGATGCTCCACAGGGCAGGAGATGTGACCAGTGACAGTCAAGATCCCCACTCTGCTGAGGCCAGGAGCATATCAGAACAGGCAGGATCCTGCCCAGCATCGCTCTAGTGCAGGGTTTGAAAGGGAGAGCAGCCTCCCACTGCTATATAAATAGCGAAGCAAAGGCTGGGGAAGCATTTACAGAAAATGAATGTGGAATCAAAGCCCAGCCACATATTTTCAAAGCAGGAGGCATCGATCCCACGTTGGCTTTCTGTGGCGACGGTTCTGCACCGCACCAGGTGACGGATGAAGACGTAATCCTGCGCTCTGATGGATGGTGGTGTGGCAGAGAGACAATTTTTCACTGTATCATTACTGAACTCCTGCATCCTGACAGCCTGCCTGAGCACATCCAGGCTCGGAGTCTCCCCAAGACGTGCTCTCGTGCAACCACAGTTTATCTGGCCTGCACAGCACACAGTGAAACCCCACAGCCAGAGCTCTGGAGGAGGCCAGATTAGAGACAATCCCAACAATCCCTCCAGCCTTAAAACTATTTGTTTAGCTACTAGAAATACCTAACTCTGCTAGAGACACTGGGGCCAGGGGCCCAGACTACAGAGGGATTCAGGATTGCTGAGAATCAGTGTCCAAATCCCTCTGAATTGATGCAAGGCAGCCAGCAATCCGAACTTGACCAGCAAGTGTTCTATCAAACACAGCCCTGAACTGGTTTTAGGAGAAGCAATGCACATTTATGAGTGGCACATGTACACATCCGTTCCTCTCCAAAATCCATGTGTTTGATTGAATAAAGCAAGGCCTTACTTTCTGGCAGACATCCATGTGCTTTTTGAGCCCCACAATAGTTTTCCTGGTTATAACACTGCAGGTTGGGCAGGAGACTTCCCCCTTCTCGCTGATCTCCCGCTGCCACTGGTCCTCTGGGTTTGCTGGAAAGGGAGAGGAGAGAGGTGTAACACTGGCTGGGCAGAGGACTGCCCTGTCTAAAGCCTTGATTTGGTAAGCTGAAAAGCTCTCCCTGCCCCACACTCCTGCAGCTGCCTGAGCAAACTGGGTCGCTGGGTGACTTCACATGGAGTTACCAGACCTGCTGACCTGGGAAAAAGAGGTTCACCTTTCCAACCCTGCTGGTATCCTGCACACTGGGAGTTAAAAAAGGATAATGCCTCTGGCCACCTGATCTTGCCCTGCTTGCAATAACTTCCCCTTGCCAAATGAAACAATTAGCGGGAGCGAAACAAAGGTGAGCGTCTCGGCTCCATCCGGACGTGTGCCTGGAAAACTTCCCTGGCAATCCCCTTCCCGGTAGACACGGAGGTAGCTAGGGGACTGCTGGCTTCCAGGCATCTGTTTATTTGAATGACCGTGGACAGCTTAAAAAAAGCTTAAAATAAGAGATTCATGAGGCCAAAACCTGCTCCCAGGTCCAGAGTTCACGTCGCGTTCTCAGCAGAACAGCGCTGAGCTTCCAGCAAGGGAAGCCTGGGCTGAATAAAATCCGCCAAGTCTGTTTATTTGGATGCTCTTGCATGGCTGTGAGATCAGAGAGTCGTTTATTTGAATTTGAAAGCAGTGTAAGGCACTGCAGCTGTGTTTATCTTGCACATCCTGCGTTCCTCCTGCTGTCAGAGCTCCCAGGGAAAGCAAGCAACCTGTGCCTGGGATGTAGGCTGCATCTCGGAGAAGGTGTAATCATTCCTAGAGTTATGCACTGGTGTCATTCATGGGGATGATGTTAGAAAAATGCCATCATCCCACATGCTGACCCAAACTGTGGTCACAGTGCAGCCAGCTGGAACTTGGCTCTCAACTCCCAGCACTTCCATCGCGCTGACCTGGCAGCGAAGTGAAGGTAAGGTGCCCCTCAGGATGTAAACTGTGCCTGCATTAACGTTTTAGGAGCAGTGACCGTTCCCACATCTGTGCTGCACTTCAAAAGTGTGCTCCTACTTCTGATTTTGTGCTGCTTCTCCTGGCAAACCTGCTAGAAAACGGCCCAGCAAACAATTTGCTGGGCCAGGAGGGGTGCAGGGACCATGAGCTGCAGGTGAAGGTGGGGACTGAGCAGATCACATGGAAAGCAGCTAAGCTGCACACAAAGCTGCTGCCTGTGCTTTGCACCCTCCAGCCTCACCTGCTGGTAGGTGCACAGCAGTTTCCTTCTTCACAGCAACTCCTGGAGATTTCTTTTTCAGCTCCTCCATACTGGTGTTTCCCTCCAACTTCTTGGCTCGATGGGCTTTTGCCTTGTCCTCTGCTTTGACAAGACCTGTAGAGAAAGAGGATACTTCTTCAGTACTTGCTTTAATACCTTCAGAGCAACTTGCATTTAGCAGGTAACAAATCTCTACCTCTAACCCCGGGACACTGAGCTGGCTGTAGGTCTGCCAAGGCTGCATGGTCAGGTCCATAATTATGACAAGCAATATCCTCACAGATTGTGGTGTTTTATAAATAGCATCATTTCCCCCAACCCAGTCAGTTTATGAATTATGGAAACACCATGGCAAAGTGAGGTAGGAGGCCTCTAGCCAGGCAGACAGGACAGGGAGGAGGGAATAGGGTGCTTTGCAAGAAACTGAAGGGGGGAACTAGAACAGCAAATTCAGGATATAAAAGTGATGTTCCTGCTGATGCTCCTGCACTGGAAAAGCTGTTTAACTCCCCTGGGTCCACCCCCCCCAAATCCATGTGCAGTTCAGCCCTGTGCTTGCGCTTCCACAGAAGGTGCTGGAGGCAACACGGCAAGTGCCAGGGTCAGATCCACACTTGCCCCACAGGGGTCATGTCCTGCTGAAAACCCAGGGTCTGAATGGAGACAGCACCCCATGATGGGCTGGGGCACCCTTGTCTTTGGGGAGTGACTGTCACATGGGCAGGCATAGGCAAACATATGCCCCATCTTCCCTCTCCACCTGAGGCAGCAGGTCATGGAGGCACCTTGCTCTCCAGGAACCTACTGCAGACGTTTCAATCTATGGCAGCGCCTCTGCGGGGAAGTTAAGGGAAACAAGCCCAGACTTCCCAGGAGCCAGGGGAAAGGAAATCACAGAGACCACATCCAGCCTGCTCGTCGGTGTTTAATTCCTTCAAAGCCATTAGTGCCTCTCCCCCGAGTGCCTCGTACTGGAAGGTGCTGCTGCCTCCCACAGTGCCTGGAAATCCGCTTTTTATTTCCCCGACTGAACGTATTTCATAGCCAGACTAAATCCAGTTGCTCTTGTACCAGGGATGCTCCAGGATTTCCCCCTCCTTCCCAGCCCCATTGGAGCATGACCACAGTCCCACTTGCTCTTGCTTTGTCAGGCTGCAGCAGCCAATTCCTGAGCTCCCTCTCAGAAAACATCCCGGCAACACACGTCTCTTCTCCCTTGGATTCATTCCCTTCAATGTGGGCGACCAGCAGTGGGGATGGTGTCTGAGGGGTGGGTGCGTCACCAGCCTTTCTGCGCAGCAGAAATCCTTCCCGATGCCACTGGAAACACTGCGACATCCCAGGATGGTGGGCTCATGATGAAACGATGTTTCTCATATCTCGCTTGTGTCAGCAGCTTGTTACTCTTGCGTTACAGCTGAACACTCCTGGATCCTTTCCTCTCTCTTGCCTCATTTCCCAGCGCCAGGCTCCAGAACAGAGCAGACAGGGTTGTTATCAGTCCCAGCTCTGCTGCTGCCTTTCACTCTCTTTATGACACTCTTATGGTAGAAAGCAGCAGCTCTCCCAGTGTGATATCCTTGGGCTCCATCTGGCTCCACCACAGGGAGGGTTCTTGAAGAAGGGGTTTCCCTGCAATGCCCCAGGGAGAAGGTACAACCCTACAGCTGACCAGAGTTGTCCCTGTATTACCTTTCAGTCCAAATGTCCCCGAGATGGACGGCTGCTCCCCCGTAAACTTCTTAGGAGTTTTCTGTTTCCTTCCTGACTCAAAAGAGAGAAGCAGAGAGAGAGATTTGGTCAAATAACTGTACTGCCAGGGGGATTCATCAGTCCTGGGGCATGGAGTGAGCACACACTCTGTGTCAGGAGTGGATCAGGATGAAGCACTCACCCACCAAACACCAACAGGTTGCTGCTTCCCACCCCCCAAAACCAGGATAAATGTGTTATTTAGGGTTAGTTCAATGAGTGGAAGTGGTGGCTCTGTCTAGTGCTGAAAGCCACACAGTTTCCACACCTCAGCAGCCACAGTGGCTGTGGTGGTTTGCTTTGGTGCTGCAAGCACTGGAACCCCATGACGTGATGGGGACAATCATGGCCCTGTCTGCCAGCTCTGCAGTGGCCATGTACAGAGTGAGCTTCCTCACCCTGTTCCAACCCTTCAAGGAAAATGGGTTTACCAGAACCATCCTGCTTTAACCTGCCACACTCAGTGAGGACAGACAGGTTGACATGGCAGCCAGGAATCCGATCCATTTCCAGTCTTACAGGTCCTATAGGAATAATCTCTACCACAGCTACAACCAGGTTTCAACTCCCAGTAAAGCTGCAGGAAACTGGGGCAGAGGTGGGGGGAAACTATCAGGATGTTAAATCAAGACTTGGATCTCTCTTGGATTCAGAGAGACACTTGCAGCAGCATTGGCAGGAGCAGAGCCCCTTCCTGTGGGACACTTCTTTGGGCTCCTGAGCCAGCGTAGCCCCGGGCTCTAATCTTACTGTGCTTCATCCTCTCAGGGTCTTCCTCCTGCAGCGAGGCCTGGCTGCCCCGCTGCTGCCCGGCGTCCTTCCCGCTCGAGGACTTGGCCGTGGGGGTGGCGGCCGCCATCGCCTCGGCCGCGGCGATCTGGAACTCCTTGCTCTCCCGGCTCTCCGCCAGGCACTCGCCATTCTCCGTGTGCTCCTGGGCCACAGCTTTTTCCGTCTTTGGCTGTTTGGGATGGATGGTGGGGCAAGCTGAACTCTCAGCAGCTCTAGGGCAAAGCACAGAGGGCTTGTTTAAAGAGGGGTTGTTAGACAAGTGTCTTGACACCTCTCCCCCCTCACCAGCCCACATAATAGGAACGGAGGCAGGCACATTCCCCTTCTCCCAGCCATCCCTATGCCACTGCCATGCAGCCCAGCCACAGCCTGGCACCTTTTCTTTCCACTGCTCTTCCCAATGGCCTTGGGCACTTTGTTTTCTGCTTTGCTGGTTGGCACTGGCCGGTCCAAGTGATTCCAGAGCCGATGCTTTTCCAGCTGGGTTTTGGAGGTGAAGGCAGCTTCACAGTACGAGCATGAGTACGTCAGCTTCTCCGAGATCGCACCCTGCGCAGAGCAAGGAGAGGCAGGTGAGCACGGGTGTTAGACCATAAAAGAGACAGGCTTTTTCTGGCATGGGCACAAACACAAACCCTGTGTAATACCTTTCTGCCCCTCCAAACAGTTATGAAGGGTCCACAGTCCCCCTGGGCCAGACCTCACGCTGAGCTGCAGGGACCCCAGTCCCTCTTGTACATACCTCACGAACTGCTCCTGGCCCACCTCTGCCCTCCCCACTTCCCCATTTTAACCTCATGTTTCTCCTGGGTTTTAAGGCCTGAGAGTGGCTTTGGCCTGCAGATGGTAATGGAAGAGCTGGCCACTGGAAAGGACAGGCAGTTCTCCGGTCTCCTTACCCCTTGGCAGCGCTGATAGTGGTACTTCAAGCCATAAATGCTGGGGAACTCCAGCCAGCAGCCTGAATTGGGACATTTCACCCTGGAGTGGGCTTTGAATTCATCCTTCCACTGATTCATCAGGGGGAGCTGGGAACAGGAGAGACAAGAGACAGCTGAGTTCAGAGCACCCTGTGCCCGGCTGTGTACCAGTGTATCCCAGGGGGGCCTGGAGGGCACACGGGACCACTGACCATTCACGTCCAATCCCTTCCCACAACACAGCCACAAAGTGGACCCAGAGGTGTGTTTCAGTGCAGTGATGCTCCCAGTGAGAGGTGCTGGGATAGATGCTGCAGGCTCTACAGGCTAATGATTCCTCCCAGGGATTTACCTTGCTGTGCCTCCCAGAGCACACACACACTCCCTGCCAGGCTGGGGAATAAATCAGGCCTGAAGTCGCCCGGGTGATTTAATCACCCCACATTTCATCTAGTCCGTAAATCACCCCATGCCCGTGCTCTCATGACAAACTGCTCTGTGTTGTCCATGCTAACGGGCAGGAATTAAACTGCACAACCCTGCAGGGAATAAATCACCCCTTTGCCATTGCTGTTGGATCATTAGCCAAATCTGACATGGCTGAGAGGATGTGGCTCATCTGGGCATGGCCCTGGGAAGGTGAGGCTGGAGGGAAGTACGATTCCCTAACCAGCATTTTGGAGGATGCCTGCATGGAGGGGTTGAGGGGCCAAGATCTCGCTCAGCCCAAGACAAGGCTGCTCTGAAGATTAAACCACCAGGAAGGCAGGTTCAACCCCAGAGTGGGGCTGGCTGGAGCATGCGGTGCAGGGCAAGTCAGAGGGAGTGAAGCAGGGAGGGCACTGGGGTGGGGAGGGGTCTTACAGGGATGTCTTTCAGTGCCTGATTCTCGGCCTTGGGTCGTCCTTTCTTCCTGCCTTCAGTTTTGTCACTGGTCGCATTTTCTGCAAGCAGACGGAGCACACATCACCAGCTGTGCTGGAGGAGCTGCTGTCCTGGCAATCCTGGTGCCCAGCCCCAGCCTCCCACTGCCCGCCCGGCTCCCTCAGCTCTGGGCTGCCACTCCCTGCCCTGGCAAGGATGGAGATTCCCCTCTGGAAGGCAAGGCCAGCTCCTCTGCGACTGAAGTGCTGATAAGATGTGGCGCAGGGAAAAACGCTCTCCTGAACACAGGCGTGTTCTTGCTGCGGACAGCTGGAGTTCATTCCCCTTAGCAATAAATTATCCTCCTCTGCTAGTAATTACGGCTTCAATCCCCTCAAGGTAAGAGTGGCATCTGGGAAACATTTAGGGGACATGCGTTTCCCCACAAGGCCACTGATTTTGGGAGCCTGGTCCGAGATACATCGCTGGGGTCCAACCCTCTCCTGCGGTGCAGGCACCCCTCGGTGTCTGGGGCTGCTGTTAGCAAGGTAAAGGCAGTGAGAGCCTCTTGCAGAGGGGATCTGCCCAGAATAAATGGACAGAAGAAAAAAAATCTCCTTGAGCCTGGAGATTCCTGGATAGAGAAATCAGCCATCCATCAGCATGACAGCCCTCAGCGTGAGGGTCCCCCGGGGCTCGTACGCTCGCAAGCCTCCATCCCGGGGGCCGCGACACAGGAGGCAGCAGATGGTCTGAACTCATTTAAGCCTTTCCATCCTTTGATGTAACACTTAGCTACCAACACGATAAATAGGCGGCGAGACACCCATCTCGTTAAGCCAGACACACGCCTCTCCAAAGGGAGAGACCACCTCCATTCCTCCCCTCCCGCTCCCAAGGACCAGCTCCCTGCAGATCCCAGGGTCTGGGGCTTTTTTGGCCAGCACAGCTCTTGCTGGTGGGTCAAAGTGAGAAACAGAGACACCCCAAGACCCAGTGCACCCACACCCCCTTGTTTTGGCAGCCACTCCCCAACCCCTGCCACTGGGTTCATCCCCTCCGCCCCATCTGCCTCCATAGAAAGCACAAACCAGTTCCTTACCCAGCTTGGGCAGCTCTGCCGGTGGGTTTATCCTTGTCTCCGTCCTGCTTTCTTTGCTGGCAGCAGGTTTGTTAGAGGCTGCAGTTTTCCTTCCACCTTTGCAGGTATAGGAATCCGCCATCTCTGAAAGAAGCAGGGGAGGCGTTAAAATTCACTCCTCGGAGCCGGGAACAACACATGGTGAAAGCAAGGAGAGCTGCTGGGGAGGGAGGGAAACAAGCAAACTATCACGCAGTTTGAAGATTCCCACAAAGAGAAGAAACGGGACGTGCTTCTGAGTATTTGTTCTACGGTCAAGGAACGCCACAGACATGGCTGGAAAGCTGCTTTCATTACAGCCTGGCTTCCCCTCCACGTACAACAGCAAAGACTTTATTAAAAATTATGGGCTGACTTTGCCCAGAGAAGTAGTGAATAAATGGCTTTCCCTCTTCGTTTATTTCTCTGCTTTCATTTAAGACACCAAAAGCAAAAAAAAAAATAGTGAGTTTTAATGAACAGATGTAGTGATAAATTTCCAATTTTCCTTATTAATGGGAAACCGTTATAAACGGAGAATTGTTAATGTTATCTGAATTTTCTGTATTAATAATTCAATTTCGCTTCTCTATAAATAATGAACATCAGGAATTATCGCAGAAGGCCCACTCTCGCTCCTGAAGGAAGCAGCAGCAAGACACCCCTCCGTTTGGTGGTGCCAGGAAGAAGCCCATGGAATGACTGCCTTTGTCTCTGGCTTCAAGTTCTTTCTTCCCTTCCCAACAGCACAAGCAAAGACATGTCAGAGGATGGGGGCTGCACTGGGAGACGCCACATAAGGATTTGGGGGAAAAAAGTCCTTCACACCTTCACAATGAGAGCATCAGCTCCTTGGGAAGCGATTGCCCAGACCACTGCAGCCTTGATACCCTGGCTGGGACGTGATGCTGAGACGCTCACCCACAGGCTTTTTCAAAACATGGATTTGAGTCGTCACTCCCAGTTCCTCCCACAAGATCATGTTCAGCGTCATTTAACTCAACAGAGTTGATTCCCAGAGCATCCAGACTCATTCCACCTGTTCTCATGCCCAGAGGAATAGCGGAGCACCTCCTGCATAGCCAGGTTGCCAGCCATGCCACCAACAAGTGGGACATGAGGGTCCAGCAGCTCTTTCTGAGGTGCCCCCAGGGACTTTCTGTGTGGGATCAGGGACTGCACAATCGCATGCATCCCACATGCTCTGAGAAGAACTGGCAAAAGCTCAGCTGGTGACACGTATGTGGTTGGTTGCATGGACACAAAGGTTAATCCGATCAAGTGAGAAATTCCAGCCTTGGCAACAGGTTCTGTGGCATTTGGTGCTGAACATGGGCATCGTTGATTCAGCTAATTTGGGCTCTTTCAGTGGGAGAGCTGGGAAGGAGCTGCAGCCTGAGTGCCAGCGGCTCATTCCTGGAGCAGGCAAAGAGAGGGTTCCCTGCAGCCCCTTCCCAAATCCTTGCTCCACTCCTACTAATGTGGACACTGCTATTGTTCCCAGTTCTCCAGGGATAAATGTGTCAGTCCCCTTCCTTCCCATGCTGCCTCCTGGCACCTCTGAGCAATCCTTTATCAAGTTGCTCAAAGAAAAAAGGGGAAAAAAAGAGACTCACAAAAGACCAGAGAACTGAAAGCTGAAGACAAGATCTCTGTGCTCAAAACAGGTGAAAACCGAGGGGAAACCTGCAGAGCTGACACCTTTATGCATCCAGGGACACCTTTATCCTAGTGCCAAAATGCAGTGGGTGACGGAGCACAAAACCTCCGTGCCCACCTTGCTGGGCAGCTCAAGGTGATGTGCAAGATGTGACGGGCAGGGCAGACCCTGCTGATGGCCCACCTCCTGCACCCCAAACACCCCGTGGCACCACACACCACTGAGCATCACACCAACACTCCCTTCCCAAAACGTCCAAAGTGCCCAGCTCAGCCCGGCTCCAGCAGCTGGACACTTCTCATTCCCCTTAAAACATCCATCCCCTCAAAGAGACCCTCTCTGCCCAGCTTAAGGGGTTCTGAATATTTTGTTTTTCCACACCAAATACTTCTTTGATTTTTTCCCCTTCTTGTTTTTGATTAAATGAAAAATAAAAATCCTATAAACCATTTAGCAAGAGCCAAACTCTGCTGCCCGGCCACCGATACAACCCCAGGGATCACAGAGGAATTGTCCCAGAGTAAGAGAGCAAAAATCAGCAAAAGCCATTGTGGTTTTTTTTTGTAATATCCAAACTTCTCACTCATTTTTGAGTAATACACAGTGAAATGGCCAACAGCCGATGCCCTTCCATGCTTTCCTTAAGGTTTTTCTCACCAAAAGTGAGAACCCTTTTGCTGGTAATGGGAAGAGAAGGTATTGGCACATCCTAGCCATTAGCAGGGCTGGGATATGGTGCGGGAAGACTGGGACTGGTAGCATCTTACGAAGCCTCCAGCTCTTTTTAGGTAACTTTTTAGAAGTTTGTGGCAATATTTTTGAAGCATCCCAATCCAGTTCCACATAAAAAACCCTCTGTCAACACAGAAGCCAGCGCAGGATGAGTAGAGGTCAAGTTGACACTGCTGGGAGCAAGGGTGAGGAGGAAACCCATGGCTGTGGGAAGGGGGAGTGAAGTCTGGGAACCAAAGGCACTGTTCCAAAGCCACCAGCAGCCCAGCCTGGCCGGCACAGCCATAAGCTTCTCTGTGGGATGTGAGAAGGGACAGCCACATCCCAGCCAGTGGCAGTCCCAACAGGCTTTTTCCTACTGTGACAAATCCCTCCTGCAGAGCTGTCAGGCTTTGAGGGCTGGGCACAGCCTGAAAATTGGGTATAAAGCAGGAAAGCGGAAATAATTCCATGTAGAAATGCCTGCCTTTGGATCAGGCCCACAGGAGCATGCACGCAGCCAGGGATGGCTGTGATCCTCTCACAGTCCCACGACATCCTTATGGCTGCCAGGGGGAACGTCACCCACGAGTCCTGACCGCAAGTTCTCCTGCCGGGACTCCCGCCCCAGTCCCATCCCCACAGAGGCACCGTGCCATGCACCAACCACCTGGTCACCCATCGGTCCACTCCACTTATTATCAATAATTTACCAACAGCTCCAGTGCAGACAAGGGAGCTGCTGCCCCGGCACAAGCCATGTGCCAGCAGAGATGCAATGAGGCCAGCGCAGGCAACGGATGCCAAAGGGCACTGCCATTCCTGTTGCTGTCAGAGGAGCTGTGATCTCTCCCATGAACTCCAGGCAGAACTGGAGTCGCTGGGAAAAACTTCCAGGGAACAAAGACAAGGAAGCGGTGGGAGAGGCTTCCTAGGGAGGGAGCGGAATCACCCTTGCTGGAGGTTTCCCCGGGAGGGAAGCACGTGGCAGGTGAAGCCCTGCGAGCCGCTGCCTCCCTGGGCACGGCTGACGGCCGGGCAGCTCCGGAGGGACACGGTGCATCCCATCCCCATCACCCACACCGACGGACACCCCGAGGCTCTCCAGAAGGGAATCGCCTCACCCGCAGCCGCCACTCCTGCCGCACATGGCTGCGACCAGGCGCAGACGAGGCTTTTTGAGCGTATAAAGTTTCTGTTCGAGGCACGTTATCCCATCCGTCTCCTCTGCGTCCCCGGGCACTGACACGAAGGGAAAAGAACCCGCACGTGCCTGGCAGACAATGAACCTTCGCCGTGCCTGGGGGGACCGGGGTGTCCCCTGTCCGGGGGTCAGTGGGCGTGAGGAGCTCTGCCCGGCGCTGCTGTCACCTCCGAGGCACGGGGAGCTCTGCCCGGTGCCGCTGTCACCTCCGGGGCGCGGGGACCTCTGTCCTGTCACCTCCCGCCCCGGCCGTGCCACCCGCGTCCCCTCACAGCCCCTCCCCGCTGTCACGACTGCCCGGGCCTGTCACCCCCCGGGCCCGCGCCCCATCCCCGGGAGGCGGCCGGGGCTCCCCCGCGGGCCGGGCCCGGCGGGGCCGACACGGAGAGGGACGGGAGGGCCGGGCCCGGCCGGGCCGCGCTCCGGGAGGGGAAGAGCGAGCGGCAAAATGGCG